TCACGAATTTTTCTAATTCGAATGTGTAAAATGACATTAAAATACGTCATAGAACGCTAAAAACGCCCAGACCTAACTGGGCCTATGCAGCCCCTCGTCCCTCAACGTCTGGGGTACAAAATACCCCAGCTCATGGCCTCCGGCCCCTTCTTTAAGCCACTGTTCTAGCGTTTATTGATCATTTTCTCCTGTGTAGATTTAATGTCGCAATCCATCACAAGTTTTTAATGCAGTCCGCCCAATAGCGCAAATCGATTTGCTCATAGTCATAAGCATGCGCAGTAAAGAACTTCGTAGTTAATTATTGAATTGCCCATGCCTGTAATGAAAAGAAAAACACGCATTCGCCTATGTGGATAGAAACGGCGCGGCGGTATGAGTCGAGTCCAGCGAATTCCAGCTAGCGTTTGAAAGAGTGGAATTGTGTGCAGTTCAGCTTGCGAACCGTGGCATGGGTGTGATTGCATCTCAATATGTCAGCGTGTTGTAGGACCAGGGAACCAGTTCCCTGGTAGGACCAGGTTATGCAAAAAGTAGAAACAGTTCTAACTACCGATTTCGCTGAAGCGAAAACTCCGATAGAAACGTGAATACAGACCTTCACCCAGATCGCCAAGGCGAGGTCAGCCTGAGTGAGAAATAAAAATAAAATGTTGAATTTTTCCAAAAATCATACTTACTTTCATTGACTCTTATTTTGAACATTACCATTAGGACATTGTTTAAATCCACACTATCCTATATCTTACACTTTTACACTGATTGTAGTGTAGGCCCTACCAGAGAGGTACATTCCCGTTACATTATGGTCTTCCATTTCTATAGCGCATACAAACAAACAAACGTTACGTAACACTACTAACTCGGAGTCGCTCAGCTCAGTCGTAGCTGTGTATATCTTGGCATGCATTGATAAGTGTTTTTAGCATTGTTTTAAAGTAACAACCTATCAGACATGAACAACTAAACGAATGAAAGTATATTCCTATTAACTATTGTTTTCTCGGCGGCCCACTAGCCCCCAACTTCAGTGCTCGCGAGCGAAGCGAGCACTAAGTTTAGGGCCAGCCGGCCGCCGAGGGCACCAGCCGGGGTTCAGTGGCCGGAGGCCCCGGGAAAAATTTGATTTTTCAATTGAAATAAACCTGCCTGTTTATTCAAGAGAAAGCTTGTTACTCACAGCATTGTTGTTATTTTACTATTTTGCCTTTTGACATTGACAAAAATCTAAGGTAGACCTATGAACGAAAAATAATTTTGCTTTTAATCAATACATGCAGGCACAGATCCAGACCTTCTCACCGTTCGCCATGCAAAGATCAGGTTGAGAAATAAAATATAAAAAAAATATAAAGTGGTTGCAGTGCCAAGTGGTCTGGCAAATTCCAAATCTTTCTGTCAGAAATGCCACCTGCTCAACCAAAGACAAGAATATAGACAAAAATTCAATACATTTTTGCACTGTCTAACTATTAATTAAAAGGAACTGTAATTAATTCGGCTAAGCGATGTACTATTTAATTTTTTTTTTTTTAAATTAATTTTGATTTATATGTCACGATGTATGGTTAATCAAAAAGCAATCAGAGGGAAAATATATATGTGCGTTGGTTGTTATAACCTTATTGAAAGGTATATAATTTTATTATATTTTGTTTTTTAAATAAGCATTTTTAAATAATTTCCTAGTGGGTGTAAAATCACACCTATCAAGTTTGGTTTTGGTCAAGGTACAATTGCTGAAATATTTGAATTTTTCTGCTTCCTTCCTTTAAGTTAAGTTATATCATGACTAAGTTGTTATAATGTGCATTTTAAACTGTAATATTATTATTAACTAAGACCAATCAACAAATAACATAAAACATGTACATATCAAAATTATTATGTTTAACTTTCCTCGTCGGTGCGTGCATAAAACGTAATGTCTTGGAATTGCATTGAACGGTGCATTGGTTGTGATATCACTACGATCAATGCTGTATATGAGGAGAATGTTAGGAAAAAGCTTGACTTAATTTTGTTGGACGAATCCCACCCTTTACCTAATCACTATGTATTTATGCGTTCTGGTCTGAGATTACGAGCTCCTCGTTCGACACATAACAGACACAATTTTTCATTTGTAATGAACCTAATTAGATTATATAATAAATATGCATCAAGATAATAATAATAATAATAATAATAATAATAATAATAATAATAATAATAATAATAATAATAATAATAATAATAATAATAATAGTGATAATAGTAGTAGTAATAATAAATATAATAAAACATTCATATAGAGCATTGATCGTAATGATCGTAATGATAATGATTGTAATAATGATTATAATTGTGATAATAATTGTTAATAAGAATAATATTTTATGTATTTTCATGTATTTTATATATGTTTTATTTTTTATTGATTTTTACTATGTACAGTATTTTGTATGTAAATGCGCCATGCAAAACGAATTTCCAACATGTTTTAATGTTTGGACAAATAAAAGTTTATCTTACCTTATCTTATGTTATCTTAATTGGATCTAACATGTATAATGATATTGATAAACAATCAAAACTCTTTGTATTGGCCTATATTATGCTAAACATTTACTGTTGTGGTCATATTAGACTGTAATATTATTATAATTAAAGAAGTGTATTCAACAAACAGCATAATACATACATATCAAAGTTATTAGGTTAAAGTTCTCACGTCGGTGCATGCATGCAACATTGTCTAAAATATTAATATCTGTTTGCTGGGGGAGACATCCTTCAATGAAACAAAAGAATGCCGTTCCCATCTTACTGACACACCCTGGTCGCCAGGTGTTATCAAGCGAATTGGTTCGAACAGTCTTTATTAATTTATAACTTACTAGTATCATTATTTAATTATTTTATTAATTTTATTATTTAAAACATTTTCAAAATGACACATTATTAATAACTCATGGCATATGTTTACAGTATATAAATACACATATACACATTTTATCAATATTTAGTTTCGTGCTACACATACATGGTGCAACACTCTTAAGATAAAATTGCTTAATGACAATTTTAGGCAATTTTATCTAAAGAGTGTTGCAACATGTGTAGCATGAACCTAAATAGTAATAAAATATCTAATCAAACCTAGTTGAACCTCTTATTTTTGTTATTGCAATTTTTTTCGCAGATTCCTCTTCTTTAGCGTTGAAATTTATATGTTATAATGTATAAAGTATTACCACAAGACGATTTAGAGTTTATCTTTCCACGTGCTACATTAAATATATATATAGGAGCGAATCCAATGGGGGACCCACCCGGCCCGAGCCCCCTTTTTGGAAAGTCAAAAAAAAAAAAATTAATAAATATAAGGGAAATAGAAAAAAAAGGAACTGAGGCCTACATAAGTGGCTGACTACTGTATAAACACATTTAGAGATACAGCAAAGTGTGTACTATTCAGTATTCACTAAAGTTACACCGGATTATCTGCGGTGGCAGACAGCGGAAATGGTTCCCCTCGGGATCGGCAGAGAGCTTATTAGCAGGCCGACAAAACGAACTTTATCCCGACATATTCAAGCTGTAATTTGTAACATTAAGAGACAAATACTCCATTAATAGGCTATGTCTAACTGTACAGTTAAATCGATTATGTATCAACCATTCCATTGAAACGTCAAATTTCATTATTATATTATTATTATTATTATTATTATTATTATTATTATTATTATTATTATTATTATTATTATTATTATTATCATCATCATCATTGTAATCAATAATATGACTATTCTTGAGCTTATTATCATTACATTATCATTATCACCACAATCATCATTAACATCAACGTCACCATCACCATCCTTACCTTCATCATCATTTTTCTTCATCATTATCATAATCGTGATCATCTATTAGGCTCTATTTCAATTTCTTAAAACTACACATAACTTTAATTTGAGAAATAACCATTGAGAAATAACCAAAATAACCACTGTCGTTAAAAATATCACTTTTAAGCAGAGGCATGTATTCATTTGACTTTGCTACAGACATAATATTTATCTACATCCTTGATTAAACTTTAAATGTATTTGTATTGCTTGCTCGTTTGGAAGAGTTATTTTGATAATTTACAAATCGCTTCCTATCAGATTAACTGCATACAATTATAGATTTGTATCACCGACTGTAATTATTAACTTAGAATAAATAACGTTATGGGTCCTTGTCAATAGGCATATCACTATCATAAACAGTTTTAATAATAATATACAAGAAGAAAGAAATAGGTATTAGGTTATTCAGTTATGAGATTACAAACGGCAAAGCATAAACAAAACGTACAAGAAAATGTAGGATGCAGCGTATAACCAATATAAGAAGTACAAGAAACAGTAATCGCAAAATACCGGTCTCATTCATAAAGTATACTCAAATTATTACCCCAAAAATAAGAGATTGATTCAAATAACGCTATGAATTGAATTGTATTGTATACTTTCTGAAAAAAGGGGCCCAAAAACTAAGTAAGGTAAGGTAAAACTTCATTCATTCATGACATGGAAATTCAAAGTAATAATAATAACAGTTTGAATACGATGAGTCTTTAATAAATTAAACAAATCTAATTCATAAATAAAATGTAGACAATATCATAGTATCATACCACATCTATTATTTAAAACAAATATTAGAAATATAATTGAAGGCGGTTTTAATTTAGTATTATATATAACCGTCTTGAAAAAATATTGTGTTTTCCCTTTATTAAGGAGTGCCTAAAATATTGAAATAAAAGTGAGGTCTATGCTTGTAATCTTAATACAATTAGATTAAAACTGATCGATTTCTTCGCTGGAAATTAAGAGTTGGTCTTAACGAGGCGGAATGGGCTTGGTGTATACGCCAATCGAAGCGTTGCCTAGTTGTTATCGCCTTTCCACACTTCCGGCTAAGGGAAGTTGTCTGTTTATCTATATGAACTAGAAATCTTAACAAGAGCAGTACATACTATTTTGTTCGTGTGGCTACCAAACAGGTTCTACCAGCAAGTCCAGCAACTAAGACGCACGCCTAAATTACATAATTATGTTTAACTAATTTACAATGGATTTCTATATCCTGTTACTCAATTCTATGATTTTTAGCTGTATTTTCGTATCGGTGAAAACAGAAATAGGTAAGTGGTAAACCATATACTACACAAGAAGTAATAGTTTCCTACCGATGATGGAGTGTTTCGCATCCACTACAACATCTGGTGTCTACCCATTGTTGTATTTTTCAGTATAAAACTTTTAACATCGGATTTAATGACATTTTTTTTATGTGTGGAGAGAAAGACTGTTTCGACATGTAAAAATCACAATCAGTAATATATAGCATAAACTTTTAAAAATAGTAAACAGCACTAAAACTTATTTATTACCATCCAGGGTCCTTATAGTCGAAGCCTTGCTAACAAACGATTGTTCTCACAACAAAAGAAAAATGCCATAATTCACTAAGCTTCATCATTCAAAGTAGAATTGAAAACTACAATTCAATTTCAATTAAGAGTGGCGCGTGGCACATGGTAGGTTTTTTGGGCTGCAAATCGGTAGATGGTGTGTTCGAGGTCTTAGGTGCAATGTTCTTTTACAACCTTGAAAAAAGAGGAAGGGAGAGGGAAGAGGAATCTTCCCTGCATATGGGATCACTTATTTTGCCCCTGTATTAATTGCGCCTGTATTAATTGTGCTATATTAGACTGTCATGGCGAATTATGAAAATTACTAAATTTAAAAAGAAAATAAATAAAGAACTATGCGCGACAATAACAAAGCTCTTACGCTTGCACTGTCGCCTCTGCCTCTCCCAAAACGTAAGAAACCGCCATATAAAAATCACAAAACTATACTGGCTAAATTTCATGCGTTTCTTCATGATATTTCCGTAGCCTTATAATAGCTCTTTAAATTATACTTTTCCATACTTGTTGTGTTTCTCAAAATTGCTCAGCATGCCCATCTTCTATTTTAAAAATATGCCTATCTATAGAAAAAGATAATTATGCCTACAATACTTTCGTTTCGACAACGAGAGGATGGTAAACAAGTAAATCTTGTCCCAGCTGTCGATGTACCATGATCTGTGGTATTGCCTAGGAAGTGGTGAATTATTGCCCTATTTGAAATCAGTTTTACAATCTGTGTTGGTTATCATGGCTGTGTCATCTGGTATCTCTGTCTGCAATCTTCCTCTTTAACTCTATATTTTTTACCTAAATTTGCATCAAATGTTCAGTGTGACGCATTTAATTACATCGAATTTAGATTTATTTATTTATTGTTTATTCAGGAAGACAACTATAAAACAAAACAAAGGACACGTTAAAAAAAAGTATTTCCTAATGATTTTCAAATTAAGATTTCTACTATTACACACGTATTAAATAAGATGATTCATTGGATAATAAATAGTCATCTGATATGTCTTTAAAACAAAGTAATGGTTAAATTAATATTTTGTCGTATATATATATACAGTATGTGTGTGTGTTTTAGGATTCCTATCAATTCGTCTAAGAAAGTACCGTGTTGATGAAAATTGAAATTATGTAAAGGTTAGTCGGGTAAACTAGTGGCCGTCGCTGTTTGCAATGAACCGTGGAGACACTTTCAGATTAGTGGTTTCTGGTTCAATTCCATCTGCTGCTATCCTTGTTCAATTGGAGGACTGATATGCATGTGCGATAGCAGGCCGTCTTTTAGTAGGCGTTGATTCTGTGTGCAATATGGCTCATGTGCACGCTTAATAAATGCAGTATTTTTCGGAAAAGAACAGGGCTCTCGCAGTGTATAGCCTCCTGATTCACTACTACAACTTGCAAAAGCCCCAGTATGCTGAAGGCGGCAACTTAAGAAAAACACAAGACAAAAATGCTATTATTATTTAATAATGATATCAGATCTCCATTTGATTTCAAAACCAAAACTAGGCCTTAACCCATTCTTGCTGTCTTTTCTTCTCCTGTATTAAAGACAGAAACACAACACAATAAAATTAAATACCTGTACACTTTGCCGATATCAATTAAACATACCCTCAAACTGGTAACGGTAATCACATTCGAATTCTATAAACAATAATTATTCCACTTTAGATGTGACATAGCTATTCTATTTTCAAGTTTGCGTAAGCTGTTAAAAGGTAAATTTTCAGTAGGAGCTTTCTAAGTTGAGGTTATCCACCTCTTAGAAGGTACAAATCCCTTTGTCCACAATTCTTATTGGAAGTTTGGGATTTTCAGAATAAGCCGGTAAACTTAAATGTAACTTGTACTGGTATAGGCATGTATAATTCGCCTTTTCAGTGAGGTTATAAAACGCAGTTATTTTCCCTGGTCATTGAGTCCACATGCTTTATGTGTTGCTGCTGGTAATCATCACAGGAGCAGGCAATCCCACCAGGTGCCCATTTATATATAAATGAAAATGTAATATGACTTATATAAACCTACATTTCCATAAAATTGTTAATGATTATTATAGTAGACAATTTCTTTTGGGTAAACAAGATATACTGCTGCTGCTACTGCTGCTACTACTACTGTTAAAAATAATAATAATAAAAATATTAATTTAAAAAGACTGGGAAAAATCCCACGTTTATAATAGACAGAACTCTAATCTTTGTATGCCTCGTCGAATATATAGTCAACTTTTAAAGAAGACTTTTGAAATTGCCATTCTTGGTCCATTCGGCTAATACAGGCTTATCATATAACAATTATGAAAATGGTTTGAGGCAAAAAATACAATTGAAGCATGTCTTAGAGATGTAGGCCTACAAGCCTGGTTATCACAAAATATGCTCTGCTTCAATCCCGATAAGACTGAAGTACTATGTATTCATTCAAAGTACCTTTCAACACCGCCTCCAATCAATAGCATCGCGATTGGAGCCGAGACTAATGTTCTTCTATCATCAGAAGTTCGCAATATTGGAGTTGTTTTTGACTCTAATATGTTGATGGGGAAACACATATCCAACATTTGCAAGTCCGTTACGTATCACCTTCGTAACATCAGGTACATTAAAAGGCTCCTGACCAATGACGCTCTTCTTAAATGAGTGTATGCTCTTATTTCATCTCGGTTGGATTACTGTAACGCTGTTCTCTGTGGTATTCCTGCTAGTCGGTTGAGAAGATTGCAGCTATGTCTTAACACAGCTGTCCGGCTCGTCTCTGAGCACATTACACCTTTCCTCAATCGACTGCATTGGTTACTGATAAACAGGCGCATCTTCAAGATTTTACTCCTCACATACCCTTAACCATAATGCTCCACAATACATTGTTCAACTATTGAAGTCTCGTTCTGCAAGATGTTCTCGGTCTCTGAGATGGATCACTGACACGTCTATACTATCAGTTCCTGCATCACGTCTCAAGACCTACGGCGACAGGGCGTTCTCTGTAGCTGCCCCAAAGTTGTGGAATTCATTACCGGCTGATCTTCGTGAGCCACCTTCACTCCTTGTATTTAAAAAGAATTTGAAGGCTTATCTCTTCAATCTTTGTTAACTTTCTCAGTTAATAATTCTCATTAATCTGTTAATCTCTGTAGTTATATTTCTGTAGTAAAGTTGTTCTGTAGTTAAGTTTTTTTTTTTTTTTTTTTTTTTTTTTTTTTTTTTTTTTTTTTTTTTTTGCGAAAGTCGCACCTCCTTAAGCCTTAGTCCTTACTTGAGGTAGCGCCGCCAACTTAGTGCACGGTAGGGGAGCCATAGGCTTATCCTTGGTGGAACTACCGGAGGCCAGTAAACTGACGCCGAGGTACCTGCGTGTACACGGTAGTGATGGCGACGCTATCTCAAAATCGGAGGTGCGCACTCCATCCCCACCCCCCCTTCGCATTCTTTTGACTTTGTTTCTTGTGGCTTCAAAAGCGCCTTGAGACGGTTTTCTGTGGAAGGCGCTATATAAATATACGGCCATTGACCATTGACCCTCGCGCGTATAAAACGACGGACGTGATTTATCGACCACTCAAACTAAAAAATAATAAAACCGTATTCAATCATTTCACCATGAAATTCAGGTGAGAAATTTGGCTTACGTTTTGATGGGTAGCGTCTGAGTGTTTGACATATAATTTTGCTCGTGGGCTAAAAAGGTTGCAGAACGGGGGTCTAGGCCTATAACATTTCCTGCTCGTCCGCCGTTCAAACTGGCACCGAATCAATGTCTTAGAGCTTCCCATCAGAGCCAATAATAATGAGATAAATAACTGGTCGCTAATAATATCTAATAATAATAATAATAATAATAATAATAATAATAATAATAATAATAATAATAATAATAATAATAATAATAATAATACTTAGACTTAACAGCCACCCATACAATAATGATCTATTAATTAATCAATCAGCAAGGGTAATCCTAGAGCTCCTCATAGGAGTTAAAAACTAAGTTACTTTAGTTTTCAAATATGCATGATCTATGTTGAGTTATTAATTCAATTTTTGCTACAGGGTATTTTACAGCATCTAAAATTTTATTGAATTTTATAATGGGGGGGGAGGATTTTTTATTTATTGATTCAATTCTTGCTATTTTACAGTATTTAAATATTTGAGGATTTAAAAAAAGTCAATTCTATTACTGAAATTTTTCATTGGGGCCATTTTACCTACTTGTCATTTGGGGCCATTTTTACCGGGGACATTATTACAAAAATTATTTATTTTAGTAATCCGTTAAACGGCAGTAAAATTAGAAATTGAAATAAAAGTTTAAGCTAAGTACTGCAGAATGTTGCTCTACCAGGTCGTTCTACTTCAGACAGCTTTGTGAGAAACGTGTGTTAGCATTGTTATTGTATTGTTTGGATGTTGGCCCTAATAATAGCGTAAAAACTCAACATATGTTGATTGATCTTTCTGTAACCTTGAACTTGTCGTTTGCTTCAATATTGTTACTATGTGTTGGACCTCATAGTCAACAAAATGATTGAGTAGATAACGGAAGATTGTCGTATTATTGTAAGGTATTCGATTGTTGCGGGGACTAGGCTACCCCAGCTGTCTGGGGCTACTCGTCCTGCTTCAAAACAAGAAGGCCGTCGTGTCTATAGACGTACAGTATGAACCAACAGCGAAGTGTCCCATTTTGAATCCCGATTGGGACAATTGGTTTTTTTTTTTCACACACTCATATTGCTCTTTAACGTTCAAAACATATGTCTATACTAGTAGTATTTACTGTAAGACGGTTCACAGATTTTATCACTTAATTATGTATTTAAATATCCATTTAAATACATAAAGATTAATGCGGTAATACTAGACCTATACAATGCAGTTGATATAATTATTATTATATAGACCTATATTAATGTAAATGGAGTATTTTTAAGACTTAAATTCTTTAAAATAACAGTGTTAGGCCTATGTGTTTTTTTTTACGTGTACAGTATACTGTTTATGCGGACTGATCGATAGATCAACGGATCAATATTGATCGATCAAGAGGGTGACGGATCAACCGACCAATCAACAATTTGATTGATCGATCTACTGATACATTGATCGATGAAGTATTCAAATTTGAACTTTTTTATAACTTTTAATTTTTGCTCCTGTTTATCTCAGTTATTTTATGGTTTTTTTGTGCTGTGGATTGTTTTAACTGAATGTATTAACTTGAAACTGAATATCTTGTATGTGTGTATGTGTGTATGTATGTATGTATGTATGTGACGATGAAAAAAAGAATCTTAATCTGATAAATAAATTTGCTTCTGATTTAATGAAACAGTAAAGCCCATTATAGTGGAGTTGAATAGCTTGGTGGTTAAGATGCTTGCCTTCCAATCCCAGGGTCCTGTTCAATTCCTGCCAGTTGCAGGATTTTTTCTCACGACATAAACAACTCCACTCTCTATATCTCATATTGAGATTTAGTTTGTGTAAAGCATCGTGTGTGTATGTTTGTCTTGTGTAAGGGATTGTCACCTACAAGTAGGACAGTGATATATATATATATTCGCTATTCGCAATCCTTGGCACATGTGTTGTGTGCCTAAAGAAAGAAAAAAAAAAGGAAAAAAAAACAAAAAACAAAAACAGAACAGTCAAATGAAAAACAAAAACAAATAATTAACATCAGTAACGATAATTATGTTGATGTTAATGATGATGAGGATGATAACAACAACAACAATAAAATATAGGCCTGTGTATAATGACGACTTGTGTAATTAGAATGGTTCTAGCAGTAAAAGTTAATATTAGTGGTGCAAGATGGACGATATTAGGTGATTATGGAGTCTTTATTTGAGGCTGAAGGGCGGCACAAAGGATAATCTTCAGGGTCACTAAAAATGATATGACGGACGGATCGGTGTATGGCATTGTGTTGCACAGGCCATGGTTGTTATTAGAGTATGAATTCAGTTAATTACGGTAGTTGTTTAGCGTTATTTTGTACTCGTTATTCTGAAGTTACGGGCCGGCATAATAGGCCTGGAGGATTGGAAGAAACTGTAGCAAGGTAATAAAAAAACCCACCTGAGTTCTCTGTTCTTCAGAGGAGAGAAATTTAAGGGGAATGGAAAGCCATTTTAATTATTGAATGCATCTCTTGACAGTATTATTAACACGATATGTCTATCATTTCAGGTACGAATATAGTATTCATCAACAAGTCTCCTGTTATCGGGTCAAGCGACGCTGAATTAACGTGTTTTGATACAGGGGACACTTATCAGAACGTATCTCTCACTCTTGATCGAATATACGATACAGGCTATGTATTGCCGACGTCGTCATCTTTTACGGGACTGCCGATCCATGGTCAACATAATGTCAAGCTGACGTTGCAAGAAAGTCAAAATGATGCACGATTCGGGTCTTTCTCCTGCGCGTTCCAGGATAGTGGAGAGCTAAACACCGTAATAGTATCCGAAAAAGGTGGGTTATTAATACTAAAATCTAATCTTGAAATATTAGCATACAATCGAAAATTATGTTTACTTAATAGTTAATAAGCCTATTCTATGTGTTTTCTTTAAAAATCCTTTAACAGTTAATAAACATGTTTGTTTGTGTGTTTGTTTTGTTTTTTGTTTTTTTGTTTTGTTTTTAGCCGATGCCTAGTCTAGTACTGACAGACTCGGAAACAGTTCCAAAAGCCAGATAAAGTTTATGTTAAATAGCGGCCTATTAAATAAATGTTGGAAAAAAAAGTTTTTCTCATCGAGATTCGAACCCAACAAATTTTTGATTACACCTGTTTACACCATTGGATTTTCCCATAGGACAATTTTTCCCCTTCAAGGTAGTGCGTAATACTGGTACGCAATAAATATTAAGATAATAATTATAATAATATAGAAATTTATATAGCGCCTTTTGCCAAAGGATACAAGGCGCTTAGAAAAGGTTTATTGTAAGAAAAAGGATTATTTAGGAAGTAAGTGAAGATAAGATACGATCTTAATAAGTTAAGATATATGAAGTTGCTGGAAGAAGATTTTCTAGGTGATTCTCTGTACCGAAGCTACTATCATGAAGTGTATGTTACTTACTTTCAGTTTCACGTTTTACTTTCTGTATGATATATCGCAATGTTAGAGATTCCCCAGCCTAATTAGGACAATTTCAACGTAAAGCATGTGCGCGTGCGGCTAAGACGTATACCCGTGATAGAAGATGTAACGTTGTATTTCTATTAGTTATATAAATGCTTCGCCAGGTAGATATGGAACACAGCATCTAAAATTACAAGGAAACATAAAACAGCACTCCTTAAAAAGATTAAATAAACCGTGTTCACAATGTAGGGCCTAATCAATATAAATGTCAAATCATCAAGTCCATACTATAATAATAGACTTGTTTACGGAAAATGTATTTTGTTCAGGGGCCTATGTATTCACTGAAATGAACTACGGTGTTCATCTCGTGTAACACCTGTTTCCGTATTTAAAATAAACGATCTAATTCCATTCTTTGCAAGTAAGCGATGCGAGCAAGGCCGAAGTAGTTAACGGCTTTAGCTTGACACGATGCGCCTATCACATATCTACCACTATTCAAGTGACCATCTTTATTGGGAAAACATAAAAATTCATAACGAAAATTGCATTTCGATAGTTAAAGAGAATGTCTTAAACTCGCAGGATCGAAATCCATTCCAAGAATGTCTTTATCTATCTAAATAATTTTTAGCTTGTTTTTGTTGAAGTGTATCTAAGTCTATAAAAATATTAAACATAACAGATGTCCGATGTATTAACAAAATCTTTGTACCCCCATGGTCGTTTTTATATCTACCATACAGTATTCCATCTAAGGTCCAGTCAGTCACTTAAAAATTTGTGCTATGTTGATTGAAATAAACTTTGAAATGTATATATAATGTAATTGCTAGGTAAAATCATTCAATTTCTTATATATTCTTTTATTATCGCCAAGCCACTCTTTAAACCAGTTTCGAACAACTCCTCCAAAGCCAACTGTTTTTAATTGGTTCATAGTGGTATTAGCACTATATTTGTATAAACAAAGCAATACTTAACAGTTATATATATCATGCCATTTAATAAACCATCATCACGGAATTAAACAAGTCGTTGTGAGTTGGTTAAGGATATAATTGTGCTAATTCGGTGATTAAACTTATTTCCTCCATTCAAGTACAAAGGAGTGTTGTTGAGTTCATTATACGGATAAGAATAACTTCAAAACGTTTTGCAATTAATTTAACTAAATTATTATTTGATTGCGTTTAAGTAAACGTGCAAACAGGCACGCATATCCTGGAGTGCAAGGCTAGGTTTGGACTGCATTGCAGATACTAAATCTGCCCACCATATAAAATCACATGTTTAAACAATAAGAATATTGAGAATAATTTGATAAAAGTACAACAGTTTAAAATAGGCCTATGAAAAAAGGTGATTCTAATTTACAATTAGAATTTTCCGGTGTCTTTTTAAAATAATATTACTAAGCTGGTTCTGGGATTTAGACCCGATGAACGAGATGATAAAAATCAGTAAAATTGAGATTTATAGATTCATAATTATGATATGCATTTAATCAACCCTTGCCTGCTTTCATAGTAGTTAATAGTTAGTTTAAAAATCTCTTGTCGTAAGAATGATATAATATGTAAACTTTAGGTTCGGTTTGTAATTTCGTATTCAAAAATGTCTTCATTTTCTTACATCGTAATACTCGGCGATTGATACATCGTATTTAATATATGATAATGAATATATACTTCATGCTATCTACTTGCATTATCATAACACCTTATATTTTTGATTGGAATCTTATAAAAAGTAATTTTAGACATTGGAGATTTTAAAATATATAAGTAAACCTAACGTCGAAATCCTACATTTTTTAAAAATAAAGCTTGTATGAATTTATGGGTATGCACATTTTACTATGTTGAGGGTTCTTTCCATCTTTTATCAAATAAGTTTTTTCATGATATGTTATCAAAGTGTAACTGATTGCGCATTAGGAATAAGCTACTGTTTATGTTCATCTACGATTTAGTTGATAAAGATTCTGGATTTATGCTGCACCTCTTCCGTTAGAAAATCTCCAGTCAATGTCCGGGTCAAACTAAAGTCAGATATTTAGTTGTATCATGGAGGTATTATTGAGAAGGAGATCACTCGGCAACAGATCCCTTTGACGCGACAAACCTATGTGTTCCCCGCTTTTGGATCGCGCGCGGGCGTATTACCCTATAATTCACATTTTTTCGTTAG